TCTCCCTTCACCCACTTTTCTATTGTCCGTCTCCCAGGGAGAGGGTTATATGGAGATCCTTGTGATTGGTTCCCCCTGCAATATCATTATTTCTCTACCCCTATATTTCACATAACAAACTTCAATTTGTTCTTCAGGATCTAGTTCACGTGTCACCTTTTTAGAAGCTTTTCTGGCCATACCAGGAAGAGTCCATCACTGTACCTCCTTACTTCCCTGGTACATTGCTTGTGCCTCTGTTACAACATGTTTCACACTGTGTGTCAATTCTGAGATCATTTAACTCTCCCAACAGATCTTTGGAAATACATGAACTGTATCTCAATTATTGGTATTTATCACCAAATTAACCCAGTGCTTAACACAAACAGGGCCACAATGGGCATATATTTAAAACAAAGGAGCTGTTCACCAAAAAGAAAAAATGAGTGAGAATGTTTGCTTTCTATAAAGGTACTTTTTACTTTTTAATAATCTCACATGAATCCAATATGTAAGGTCATAAATCTTCACCTGCTACTCAATCTATTTGATTTTCAAACATTCACGACCTCAAGACCCAACCAACAAATGCTTTGCTCTTCCTCAAATCTACCCAGGGCATTTCATAGATGCCAAACGCCCTCCACTGGTTCTGAGAGACATGCCTCACCAGGGCTCCAATGACATAGATGGCCTTCACCCACATTACAACTCGATATCTACCAGTTTGTAATTGATGGGACACATGCAGAGACATATCCAAAAAATAGTTCATCACTTCCACACCAAATGGGAACAGAAACCGTTCCATAATCAAAGTAGGCAATGTACATCATTACATTTCCTTGTCTTAGTTTTATGAGCTCTTCCCACTAATCAACTGAATCGTTCCCTCATTAAAAAGAGGGTAAAACAAATCTGTATTACTACAATCACAAACAACCCGGCTAGAAAAGCATATTAATGTCAAACACTGGGTACACCTGAAAGGAAATCCTCCTGACAAGGCTACAGGCTCAGAGATTCGGGGCTTATGGACATTGAGTCAAAGAATCCAACAAAGGAGAAATGAGTAGCCAACTCATTAGACCACTGTGTTAGGCTTGGTTAACTAGAGAAACAAATCTAGTGGCATTCACATACCTATAAGAAAGAAATAGCTTTATATCAAGAAGTACTTATAGTATTAAGAAAGCATCCCAATCTGGTCCAACTCAAGTCTCTAAGTCTGATACTAGTCCATAAGTCCTCTTCAGCCTCATGTAGCCACAAGCAATGAGGCAGATGCAGGGAGATCACAGGCCGGTGGATGCAGTCATATGGTTCCAACATCAGTGGACTCATGGCAGAGCTCCAGCATCTCTCAGGGGGGCCAGCAGGCAGAAAGGTGAAGGTAGAGAGAAAGAGGGAGGGCCCTAGGGTCCACACCCACAAGGAGACAGAATCAGGGTTTTCACAGGCTGACCTCCACCCCGACATTTTTATACATCTTCAAGTTGACATAAAACCTAACTATTACTTAACTATTATCTAATTAACTATTACAACCACTGACTTTGTCAGGGCCCTTCCAGGATCCAACCTGCCCCCTTGTGGCAGGGAGGATGTGCTATGAGACAACTGAAAGATTCAGCATCAAACCCATTACTGAGGCGCTGAGTCTGAGTAATGGCGACCCCACGTGCTGGAGGGCAGAAATGTGCTCTACAGTCTTTGCTTCCTTACAGTCTTTAAGGACGCAGATCACCAGGCCTTTCTTCGCGGCATTGCTGGGTAGCTCTGAACCTCTAACGCATACGTTAGTAGTCAGGTGCAAACCGTTTGCACCATCCACAGACCTTTAGCCTTAAAAGTGCTCTCTGTCCGGCAGGCTGCTAACTACGCTCACCTTTCAGGTGGAAGACTCAAATACTAGAAGGAAAATCTCCATGCTTTTTGTTCAAGGTTTTTCTCGGCATCTTTCTCCTGTTACTTAAATTCTCCCAAGTGCACTTAAGGGATTTTACCACTAAAAGCACTTGCCAACCATACCAACCCAAAGGGAGCCCCCTTCTTGAAAACTGGTGTGCTGCAGCATCCACCCTGCGTTTAGTTGACTACTCGGGTCTCTGGAATGAAGCGGTCTAGCACTCATAGCAAAAGTGAGCTTCTGAATGCCAACCCCACCAAGACTCTAAGGAGCCCTGGGGGTGCAGTGGTCCTGTGTTGGCCTGCGATCCGCACGGTCAGCAATGCTAAACCACCAGCAGCTCCTTGGGAGAAAGACTGGGTTTTCTCCTCCTGTACACAGTTACAGTCTCGGAAACCCACAGGGGTCGCTGTGAGTCAGCACTGACGCATGGCCACGAGAGAGAAGACCCTACCTAACAGAAACTGAACCACCAACAGCACGGAGACACGGACACTGGGCAGTCAAAAAGTGGGAACATCCAAAAATATCTTCCAAATGAAGGAAGGAACTCCCTTCCCTATTTCCTAGGAAGTTTGGATCAGAAAGGAGCATTATCCGTCTGGAGATCTAGGATAACATCAAGGGAGGGTGTCTTACCTTTACTCCAAAGTCAATCTTCATAAAACGCACATGTGTCCCTACCAGTCCTTTAGGCTCCAGTCAAAGAGAAGTTCTTTCCTTAGGCACAGCACTGAGGGGATAGAGCACAACTCTTCTTTGAGGTAAAGGGAAGGGAAACTGTGAATTCTCTTTCTCTGTAATTAACACGTTCCAGGTGAGAATGAAGAGCTCCCACGCCTGTAGGCTGTGATTTTACATCCCTAGATGTCTTTCCCATGTGGCCGTTTTCTGTTTCTTCCAGATAGATTAACCCTTCATTTCCAAAACGAGGGTCTTTTACACTGGACGCAAGTCTGCCTGCAGATGGGTTACAAACTTCCGAAACAGAGTCCTTGCCCTGCTATCTCACTGCTTGGACCAATTCTTCACCCTTCACCGGGCTATCACAGGGTTCTAACATCCCAGGTGGCTCATATCACTCCCATCTTTGAAACCTTTTGAGGGCTCATCTGCTCTCACAGAACCAGTGTAGGTTAGTTTATGGGGTAACTCCTGGAGGTCCTTGATGCCTGCTACAATCTGGCACTGCGCTCTCGTACCGACCACTTTCAAAATCCACCAGCACGCTCATCATACCTCTCTACACCCACCCTCTGTCTCACCTCAGTGTTTCTCAGCCCCAATGCCACCAATCTTTCAAAGCTCAGGCTAACCCCATCCGGAGCGAAGAAGAGCGGAGAGAATCAATGGAAATAATGACTCCAAAGGACGTCTGGACCACACACATCTCAGTCCCCACCATCCCAAGACCAGAAGAACTAAATGATGAGCAGCTCCCACCAGCGGCCGATCTACAAGGGACCGCAATAAAGTCCTGGGTAGAGGGGGAGGAAAATATAGAACAAAATGCAAAAGAAAGGGGGAATAAAAAACCAGATACTGAGTGAATGGAGACTGGTGGAACTCCTGCAACATTACGGGGACTTGCAATCAGTGTCATGAAATAAAATATATATAAATTATTTAATAGAACATTAATTTCTCTGTAAATCTTCACTCAAACCACAATAAAAAGTTAGATAATGAAAGAAAAAAGACTCAAGTCAAAGGCCATCTCATCCACTTGACCACTTCTTTGCATTTCCCTATCATGTCAACCTTATCTCCATTTGATTTCAGGAACCCTGGTGGTGCTGTTGAGGCGCCTTGGTAGCACAGAGGATTACATGTGGGGCTGTAACTACAAGGTCGGCAGTTTGAACCACCAGCTGATCCTCAGAAGAAAGATGAGGCTGTCTATGCCATCAAGATGTACAGTCTCAGAAACCCACAGGGGCAGTTCTACTCTGTCTTATAGGGTCGCTGAGTCAGAATCAGCGTGGTGGTAGTGAGTTTCGAAGGCTTTTTTGTTGGCGCTATCAGATCAGCATTGGACTGCTAATCACAAGATTGGCAGCTCAAACCCACCAGTCACTCCAACGAGAAAGATAAGACTATGTGCTCCTGGAAAGATTTACAGCCTCAAAAACCCTATTTGAGATAGCTATAGATTGGAATCATGTAGTTGATTTAGGAAGATTTGGTGTTTTCTAAAATTTGGGATTTAAGTTTGTTTTCCTCACTAATGGCAAATTTCCTTCAGGTAAGGATTCTAAATTGTTTGCATTTCCAGAAGACCTGGTTCAGGTACGATTTCTTAATGTTTTGAACCTGGGAGGCATTCAAGAACCATTTGTGCAAAATAATCAAATGAGTCAACAAAGGCCAAAAGCCAGCCCAAATGGCAGCGAGCGGGCAGTGCGGTGACCTCATGCTAGCTTCAACTCCCTGCCATGAGTCAGGAGAAGCCAGTCCCTGGAGGAGGCCAGCACGCTTGGTCAAATGGAGGGGCAGAGAACAAGTGGAAGGTCCTCCGTGAGACAGACAGACGGACACAGTGGCAGCCTAATTGGCTTGGGCACAGGACCACTGATGAGGATGGCACAGAGAGACCACCGCTATGGGTTGGAACTGACTCAACGGCGCCTAACAGCACCAACTGAGGCTCACCAACTTTCAATAACGTGTCCAAGCTACCAAGGGGAAAACAGAATTTGCACCCAGGCTGCCTGACTGTTAGGCTCTTCCTCTCTTCGGCTGTGAAGTCCCATACCTCAGTTCTCTCTCCCTGCACATCGTCTGGACACACATGCACTTAACACAGCACTTGAAACTATGATGTTTCAAACCTAGAAGACTGTCTAATGATTCATTGACTTACTGTATAGGCCTGAGGCCCACAGAGACTTAAAAAAACAAACAATGAAAAACATGTCAAAGGAGGCAATGCAAATCAAGAATAGAGCCAGGGCTAGCAGAACCCCAGTGCCTAGTTTTTAGAAGGGTACCTTTCCCACAAAAGTTGAAGTTGACTATCGTGAACGGCCTGAGCTACCAGGGCAAACCTCCCGGCTTCCCAGGTGCTTGTAGAAGTATAAAAAGCTGTTTCAGCAAGAGCTGCACTCACCATCTGGGCTGCCTTCTCCTTCTCCTGGTCATATCTGCTCCCCTCCTGCTGTAGGGGCACATTCAAGTTCTTGGCGGCTGCCTCTCTTTCCCTTTTAGCCAGCTGCAAGATCTCATCCTGGATGATGGCCTGCTCTTCTTCATACCTGTGTCAGAAGAGAAGCAGATGGCATGACTGGCACAATGTCTCAGGGAAAGGTTTTCCTTTAGCGGGCAGAAGCGGCTGGTACCTGGAAGCCAGTGGAGCTCTGTGGCTGGCAAGGGAAGGACAAGCTGATATGAAACATAAGACATATGCCACCAAGCAGAAAGGTCAGTCCTCTGTCACCTGCATTACCCACCCACCAACGGTTGTACTCCTTTAAAGCCAGGCACCAGTGACACTAAGGTAAAAGAATACAGTCATACCTACTCTGCCCAGATAATCCAAAATTAAGAACAGACGTAGAAAAGGCTACAAGGTGAGGATTCAGACAGGCAACCACAGGAACTCCGAAGCTCCCGCCCTGTGCCAGCCGCTCAGAAACTCCGTGCTTCTCTTGAGACTGTGAAGGTTTTAGATAGCGGTAGAGCTTTGTTTTGGACACTCAACTCTTCATCCTAAACATGTTCCTACCCTTTGACCTTTTCTGGCCTTCTGCTCCATAAAATGATCAAACACAGAGATTTAAAAAAAAATTCGCTCTTAGATGCTCTTGGCAGTGTTAATCATTATAGTGGGGGGAAATGCAAGCAATTTAAAGATCCAACACTCGTGGGCTAAAGAAAATGTAACACAATCATGAGAAGGCTTCAGAACGTTCTCAGGAAAATGGAATTCAAAGATAATGGATTCTTCCATGAATATTTTGAAGGCCCTTCATACAACAGTGCTTTAATTAGGCATTGTAAAATGTATCCTAGGATTTATCTACAAGTTGAATCCAAATACAAAAAAAAAATAAACAATACCCCTAACACTAGAAATGTTTACAGACCAGGTGTAACAAATGAAAGCTATTTATAATACTAAGTGAAAATAGCAAGATGTGAAATTATATGTGCAGTGTGATGACAAGTAGGTTTAAAAAAAAATAGCCTTAAGCAGGGGGAAAACACATTTGAAAAAAAATTACTCCAAAATATTAACAGGAATTGTCTTAAAATGCTGGGTCTATGGATGGTTTTTAATGTTTTCTAAGTCTGTCATTAATATCTTTTCTGTTTAATTTTTTAAACTTTTGAAGTGAAAAGGAAAGAAATAACTAGGCTAGTTAGTCTTGGAAAGGCTTGCTAGGTAAATGCTCAGAAGGTACACAGTCCCACCTACTCAGTAATGGGATACACCAGTCCTAGGCAACTTATGGAAGAGACCAAGCCCAAAGACACTGGCCCTGGAGCCTCTCCGCCTACTTGCTTTATCATTTGACCATATGTCGTCGTCGCTCTTGGTGTTCCGGACCACCAAGTTGGTCCAACTCAGAGCAACGCCCTGTACAACAGAGCTTCACACGCCTGCTCTTACACCATCCTCACCATCTCTACTGTATCCGAGCCCCTCCTTGCAGCCACGGCGTCAGTCCAGCCCTGTGTTTACCATGTCTCTACTTGTCCCTCTTCTTGACCGCTCCCTGGCTGAGTTGCTGCCCCTTTGCCTCTGGCTTGAATGGTTGGTAGTTCTAAGGAGCGAGTCCCTTCGTGGTAGTATTCTTCACTCATCTATTGCTTGGCTGAAAACTGACTCCCAGAGCCGAGTTCAGTTCCAGGCTTGAACCCCAGTCATGCACCAGGTCAGGAAGCTCAGTCTTTGTATTATTATTATTTGGGGTTTTGTGCTGTTATTCTTCCACTCTATCCAGGACCTCCTATTGTGATCCCCTCTGGTGGTCAAGAGCGGTAGCCATGGAGTCTATTAGTCCTCGCTGTTCACTCGGCTTTGCTCTGGACAGGGGGAGATCACAAGCTGCACCTGAGATGGCTACTCACCGAAATAGGGTATAGACTATTATTTCAGGGAACTCTGGTACTCCAGGTGACCTTGGTGCCCCTGAGAATATGGTCCTATACAACAGAACTTCATACTGCCTGGCCTGACCCTGTCCTCACCATCTCTGCTATATTTGAACCCATTGTTGCAGCCACTATGTCAGTCTATCCCTTTGTTTACCAAGTCTCTACTTGTCCCTCTTCCTGATCCCTCCCTGCCTGCTGAGTTGCTCCCAGTTCCCAGGCTCAAGGAGTCTGGTTATAGCTAAGAATTTTTCAGAACTTTGTCCTCTGTATGCTCTATTATATTCATGTAAGTATTTGCAGCAAAGATAAATATATATGTAGGAACACCTTTTGTCAACCCAATACATATATGTTTGTGGGTACAGCCTCATTGACCTCCCAACCCCTATTCAGCTTGCTGTCTATGTACCCACTCCCAGGTGACGATTACTGTTTATTACAGGATTGGGCATATAATAGTATTGACCTGTGTTACCTTTTACTCTTATGCTCCTGCAAGTGTCTTCCTTTGTCTGGGTCATTCTGGAATGATTTCTCCCTTATGGCAATAGCCTTTTCCTTAAACCTAGTTAATGCGTGTCTCCCCCGTAGATAGTGATTTTCCCCCGGGGTAGATTTCAAAGAATTGTATTGCCAAACCTGTTGACTGCAGGAGTCTCATAATTCGGGGATTGACTAAATTCAGTCAGCATGGTGTACTCTAAGCTCATCCCTGTGAGGTGTTTTGCTCATTTGTCATGGTTCTTTTACATTGCATCCTATCCCGACGTGAGCATCTACCATCGTTTGTTTATCCATTTGCCCGCGGGTGATGCTTAAGCTGTTTCCGCCTTTTTATTACTGTGAATAAGGCTGTGATGAACCTGGGCATGAACACACCTGTTCTTCTTTCCCTTGGGTACCTACCCACTACTAAGATTGTGTTTCTATTCCCAACTTTTTTTTTAAGGCAGCACCATCCACTTTTTTATGTTAGCTGTGCCGTTGTATAATCCTGCCATCAGTGTATGGGAGTTCCAGGCTCTCGACCATGACCAGCATTGGTTGTTTTCTGTTGTTGTTGTTGTTGTTGTTGTTGTTGTTGTTGTTGCATATGTTTGCATCTCTCTAGTAGCTAATGTTGGTGAGCACTTCTCTGCGTGTTTGGGGGCCACCTGAATGTCTTCATCGGCGAAGTATCTGTTCATGTCCTCTGACCATTTTGAATTCGATAGTTTGTCTTTTTCTTGTTATGGGGTTGATGTTCTCAATCAATTTTAGAGATTAGTCCCTTATCCAATACATCATTGCCAAAAAAAGTTTCTCAGTTTGTAGGTATGAACTGGTCTTATTCATTGTATGTTGATATCATATTACTGATAGTATTCTATTTCAGAATAGATCTTGAAATGTTCCTTTTGAGACGAGTATGACACCATTTGTCTTAGATGTATCAATTCTGGCATAGGGAGCTCTGGTAGCACTATGGACTAAGCATTAGCCAACTAACCACAAGATTGGCCGTTCAAACCCCCCACTCCATGGGAGAAAGATGAGGCTGCGGCTGTTGCTTCCAGAAAGACTTCCAGCCCCAGAGACCCTCTGGAGCAGATCAACTCGAGCCTGAGTTGGAATTGACTTGCCAGCAGTGGATTTGGCTTGGTTTAGCCGTAGTCTTTCTAACTCCCACCACATAACTGAGTAGAACTCTGCAAACCCCAGGTGCTTGTGACACGCTAAGGGGACAAGAGAGCTTGCCAATAAATACATGGAACCGCTGTGTAATGCGACCATGCAAATAAGGTAAATGAAACCGTAACACAGAGATTGGTCCGTTTTACCACGCTGCTAGGCTTAAAATGAGCCAAAGCATGATCTCGTGACTGCCAAGAAAGAAGAGCCAGGAGGGCGTGCATCCTTTGGTCCCAGGATCCCTGAGCTAAGAGCCTCCTAAAGCCAGGAGACACAGAGCTGGGCAACTGGAGACAGCAAAGATGGTGAGAAACCGCAGAGAAATGGCGGCAGCAGGGGTAGCCTAAGAGATCAGCAGGATATAGTGGTGGGCTTTCTGGCCTCCAGAGCAAGAAAGCTGAGTGCCTGTGGGCAGAAGGCTGGTGGAACGGTAGGGTGGTGGGGCAGGGGGACTAAAAGAACTTTGTAACCCTTGGTTACGCAAGGCAGAGACCAGGAAGAGGGGCCAGCTGAGAAGAATTGTATCCTGAGCATTTCTGATCTCATGAAATCTCATTTCAGTTACTTGCCTAATCAAGTACTGTCTGTGAATTTTGTCTGGCATTTTAAAATGGGTATAAGAGACCCCATCTCAAAGGTAACTTAAAGAGAACCTTTATGAAGTCTTAAAAGAGACAAAGACACGCGTCATCTGGATGGAGGATGCCACCACCAGGAGGTCAAAGTGCATCCAAGGGTTTGCTGAGATACGCTTGAAGAAAAGGCCCGGGAGGGCAAAGGAACCTGTCACAAACACGTACCTGGACGCAGATCAGAACATCACAATTACAGGTGGGACTACAGAAGCAGGAATGAGACCTTGATTGGGGCGCGTACATCAACAGATAGGAAGGTTTACTAGACTGGTCCAAGGCAGTGGTTCTCTACCTTCCTAATACCGCGATCCTTTAATATAGTTACTTCCTCATGTGGTGGTGACCCCCAACCATCAAACTATTTTCATTGCTACTTCATTAACTGCCATTTTGCTACTGCTATGAATCGGGCAACCCCTTTGAAAAGGTCGTTTGACCCCCAAAAGAGGCTGGGCCCCAAAGGCAGTCAGGGTGAGACTGACAGGGCATGACTCCGGACCAAGGGGCCCACTATCTGATCCCAGGACAGCGACATGCACAAGGACACACCTAGACAAGCCCCAAGAGAGAGACTGCCCCTCTCTGGGCTCGCTAGAGCAGGGTGGAGGCACCCACTCTCCGAGGCATGCCACCTGAGGGCGAGATGATCTACATTCTTGGTTCAATGATCAGAAAGCATTCGATGGAGGTTTAATCTATGTGGGGACTCTGTGAATGGATTTGGGGCTGTCACTGCCAAATATAGACTTTTAAAAACCAGGGTGCTCAGAATTTAAACTCTAGTACTCCAGTATTCGGTCTTTGCACTGAATACCAAACTAAGCAAAGAACTATAGAGGACTTCAAAAGGTTCCCAGAAAAAGAGTTAAAGAATAATGAAAATGTTCCGCCGAATTTTTGGAAGGCCCCCTGTAGAGAGTGCCATAGTGTGTTCGACTGAGTTTCTAGAGAAACCAAGGACAGCTGGTGTAAGAACTGGTATCGAGATTGAAGGGCGAACGCCTTTCTGATCTCTGCCTCATAGGAATCAGCCTTGGGCACGTAAGCAATGATCTTCGTTCCCTTTTTCTCGAAGTCAGAGAAAATCACATACCACCATCACATAATTGTTATACGCCCAATAAAACCGAATTCAATTTACCATTGTAAAGGCTCACACGGATGGGGTATTTGTCCAGAGTCACAGAACGAGCATATACAAACCAGCAGCAAAGCCAGCACCTGCACCCTCCACCGCTCTTTACAAGATCTCAGGGAAGAGGAATAGTCCCATCTAAGACGTGTGGCTGCTCTCTGGGACTATTACCCATGCAGACAGGAAGTCTCCAGTAGCCTCTACCAGCTGACCTGGCCAACTACAGTTAAAAGCATGCAGGCTCACTTTCTTCATCCAGGTACATATGCACACACACAGAGAAAGTCCCTTCACTTCATTTGTTGGGTCCTAGTTCGTTAAATTAGTTTTTCAGATATACCAATTGCCTCCCCCAATACCTTTGGGAGTTTTGTCTTTAAACTAGAAACAGTGCTACCTGTAACAGAGGACTGTCACGTGACTCAAATAAGCTAAGCTATGCAAGAGCACATCCTTAAGCCATCCTTAAGCTAAGCTATATAAGAGCACATCCTTAAGCCATCCTTAAGCTAAGCTATATAAGAGCACATCCTTAAGCCATCCAGACCAGGGAAGGGTGCCCGTGAGGGAGAGGAGATCAGCCAGAGGACAGGGTCAGGGATGAATGAGAGGAACCAGGTCTCACCTCCTGAGCAGATCTGCTGCTCCCAAGGGGTGCTGCGCCCCATCCTTCTCTGCACTTGGTGGTTTGGATTCTACAGAGGAAAGAGAAGAAAGGGCCTGTCAGTAACACGCTAGGCTCGGCGACAACTTAACAGCAGTCGTGCAGGGAAGGTGGTTCAATGCAGAATGAACTCTTAGTGCAGCCAGTCTGGAGGGTCTGCTTGTCATGTGGCTGGTCGCCAGCAGCACTGCTCCAACCCCATCCCTATCAATCACACAACTCTTTAACCGCTAGAGCATGGAAGCAAAGGCCAGAGGTGGCTAGGGATGCTTCCCAAGGAGTCTCAGAGGTGAGGTTTGGGAATGGGGGCTAGGGAAGACTCATTCCATCTCGTTACTCTTGACACCCCATTCCACAGATTCACTGTCCTAAATGTCAACATCTACATTTTAAACCTACTTCTACTTTAAACTGTAGCATCTCTAGTCTTCTTGAGCTATTTAACTTGTTACAATAGGTCTACCTTCTGATTTCTGAGCAAATCCAATTTACCCTCTCCACCACTTGTTGGTACTATGGTTTTGTGACTACTCCACCCACCATCTCCATCTAGCTTTCCCCCTTCCAAGCTATCTTTCCATCAAAGCTCAAACATCACCTTTCTGTGACCCTCTCTGAACTGTCTACACGTCCATCATCAATGTCGAAAGCAAGTCACACAAAGGAACAGGGCTTTGTGAATGACTATGTAAGGATACGCTCCCCACTCCCAAGGCTTCTTAAGGAGTAGTGAACTCACCCTAACACCCTAACACTCAGTCCTTCCAGGAGGCACTTCCAGAACTGGTTCTACTTCCAACCCACCACTTCCAGAAGGAAGAGGAATAAATGGCGGTGCTCTGGCCTGCCAGGGAAGAACCTTTAACGTGCTTTTTAGTAACACTGCCAGGTTCTCAATGACGAATAAAAAATACATGCTGTCAGTTTTTATGTCAACATGAATGCCCCCCCCCATCCTTATTAGCTTATGGTGGCTTTACTGAGGTGTAATCTACCCTACTTGGTTTTACTCTTTATAAAATTTCCCTTCTTTATAACAAAAAGAATATCTGTCTCAAGCAGAAAATGTGGCACTCATCTACACCTCCATGCAGGAAACAACCCTCCCCTGTTCTCTGCAGATTTTATGTCAACTTTATGCACCTGGGTAAAGGCAGGGGTAGAGTCCAACCTATCAATCAGGTGAAGCCTTTTTATAAGAGTCACTGAGCAGCATTGAACTCTCTCTAGCCCAGTGCCTTCCTGCTTGCCTGGACTGTACGTCTGACTCCAGGGTTGGTGGCTCATGCCTTGCTGATCCTGGGGCTGTGATGCCCTGCCTGTTCCTGCCAACCTTGGGTCTATGTGACTTTACACCCATCGACCTGTGATCACCCAGCTTCCCGCTTCATCCCCTGGCAATTGTGGGAGTCTGAAAGGCTCCAGTTGGCATCCCACCCATAAACCTGAGTTGAACTGGGCTGGGCCACTCTCTTGATATAAATGTCTTTCTTGATAGGAAGTTCTTTCTTATACATACGTGATTGTCACTTGTTTTGTTTCTCTAGAAAACTCAAGCTAACCAATGTATATTTCTGTAAGTATTAATGACATTGAGAATTTTTTCAAATGTTTATGACCAGATGTACACGTTTGTCTTTCTTAATGATCTTTAAGAACTCTTTACATATTAACATTACTAACACTTTGTTATTTTTTCCTAGTTTATCAATCCTTCTTTATTCTTTCTATATGGTCTCAAATTTCTTATAGTCTTATTAACCATTTTTTATCTTAACTTAAGGCTTTGTCACTTGATATTGCACTTACATGCATATGCACTTACAAGCATAATTATATGCTTTTTAAAATTATACTTTTATGGCTTTAAGTTTCACATTATTTTAATTCCTTTGACATTTATTTTAGGGGTTGGTATGAAAGCCCCGAAGATGTAGTCAGTTAAGTGATAGATAGGCTGCTAACCACGAGGCCAGAGGTTTGAAAGCACGTAGGGAAAAAGATGAGACTTTCTACTCCCATAAACATTTACCATCTCGGAAAGTCACAGGGGCAGATCTACTCTGTCTTATAGGATTCTTAGGACTCAAATCCACTCGATGACAGTGAGTTTTGTTTGGGGTTTGGAACCAGTTCATCCAGTTTCTTAAAGTACACTGGGTCAAGTTTGAAAAGCCCTGGTGGTGCGGCGATTAAGTGCTCAGCTTCTAAGCCAAAGGTCGGTGGTTCAAACCCACCAATTTCTCTGCAGGAAAAGATGTGGCAGTCTTCCATGGAAACTCTATGCAGCAGTTCTACTCCGTCCTACAGGGAAACGATGAGTCAGGGTGGTTTTGGTAGATTGGGTCAGCTTAACCCCTCTTCAATCATTCTTAACTATGGCTAGAAATAGCTGGGAAGTTAGCCCTTTTGGGTAAAGAACAACAACATGTAGTAAGGGTTTCAGGAATCTCACCTAAGCCTCTTCACTGGTTGATGGTCAAAAGGACCTCAAGGTCCAAAAACAGGTACTTATTTATTCAGATGTGTGTGGGAAGCCTCAAGGTCCAAAAACAGGTACTTATTTATTCAGATGTGTGTGGGAGGCCCGTAGGCAATACGGGAGATTAGAACCCTGGTGCACAGAGGTTGAAGCCTGACTTTCTGGATACCATACCAGTCTCCATGATCTGGCTCCTGAAACCTCTCCCACACATCCCTTCCTCTCCCCTAGTACTTTGTAACCCAGAGACAGCAAACTGCTTCTAGGGCCGCAACAGGCCAGGCTGCACTAAGCCCCTGTGCCTCTGCTCAAACCATTCTCCATGGCTAAGACTCTATCCCCCAGTTGTGTTCTTCAATAGCCTGCTCAAAGGACATCTTCACAGACACTTCCCTCTTAATTGACTGGTCGCTCTCTCCTCTTTGCTACCCTGGAAACGATGCATTCTTCCACTGTTGCCTTCTCACAGGACACCCAATCTCCCGGGTTACATACCTGGCCCCTTCACTACAGCTGCACATAGCATAGACAGGGCATCCCTGTCTCATCTATCACCATGTGCTGACATGAGACACTGGACCAGAGACTGCCAGTTAGCAATCAGTAAATGACGAACGAGCAGGATGTAGTGCTTGCCTTCCAGACTCACTACCAGGAACTTCCCCTCAGTTCATCTGAATGGCCACCTTGGATATACTGAATCAAAATCTGTTAAACACGTTTCCCCAGGTGATAAAGATCTATTAGAATAACCTAGGGAGATTGAAACATCTGAGCCAGGTGCTACACCTGGACCACTTACAGTTTAGGTTAGAGATGCAAAGGTTGACATGGAAGTTGCTGACTCAATTCCTGCTTATTTGGCCCCAAGCACATAAATTCCTATCATTTCTTGGATTGCACAAAAGCAAGCAGTAACAGTTACGCTTCTTTTAAAGGTTCTTACAAGCATCTTCTTACCTGAGTAATCAAACCAAGCCCTTCGGCCTCCATGTTTACATATGGAGAAAAGTGAAAGAGGGAGAAGAGTCTGACTGAAATCACGTAAGCTCTGACGACCACGCGCTAGCACTTGTCAAGCACAGGGAGCTGTGCTCCCCCGGAAAGCCAGTATCAGAAAGGAGCTACTCACGTCCCTCAGGGGCAGCCTGGAGCTGCAGTGCTAGTAAATGCATTCTGACAAGCATGTGCTTTCCCAGGCCTCTCACCCTCTCTCACCTCCACTAAAGAAGCCTCTCTGTGGAATCACTGCCGCCCCCATACCTTTCTCAGGGGCTTTCGCTTTGCCTTCTGGAGCATCAAACACAGCTGTAGGAGGAGCACTACCAGGAAGGGCGGGCTGCTTCACTTCCGAAGGCTTACTGGAATCCTTCAAACGGTTCACCACATGATCAGACAGCTGTGGGGAGAAATCAGAGAGAGGGAAAGGGGGAGATCAGAACTGTGGGCTAAGTGTTGGGCTGCTAATCACATGGTCAGCAGTTCAAACCCGCAGTGCCTACCATGTCAGCACCGCACGCATGCATCTGGAATGCCAGGCTGACCACAGCAAGTCCTCTACTGACTGTTCAGCTTCACCTCCTTCCGCTTCCCAATCCACTCCATACTCTACTCAGTAGACTGTGAGCACTCGCTTTTCTCACCTCCCCTGCATGTCCCTAGGCAGTCCCTGTTGCCAAGAACCAGCACCCATACCCCCTACGCACCACCTCTGGCCATCCCCACCTGCCTCAACCTTACCCTTCCTGTAAGAGTCTCTCAGCGCACCCATCTCCGTGAAATCTTGGCTAAGAGCATCCAGAATCATGTCCTCTATTCTCTGAGATTCTCATGATCACACGTATGCCGTTTAGGGACGTGCGGCACCTCCTCTATACTTCATCCTAATGGCTCGTCAAACCCTTGAGGGCTAGAGTTACAGCTCACTCAACGCTATACCCGCCAAGGGCACACCGATAGTGAGGAATCAAGATGCTGCTTGGCTCCTTTAACGTTGGTTCTCCCTAATGAAGCCTGGGAGACCAAAACTTTTATTCATTTTACAGGAAGGGGAACAGGCAAGAGGGTGTCCCCAAAAACTAACGGAGATAAAATAGCAAGCTAGGGATAAATCCAGAATAAAAACTCTTCAGCATTCATTTCAGTAAATATTTGTTTCATGTCTAATAGGTGCAAGACATAACAAAGCAGGGCTTAGAAAGAGATCAAAAATTACCTTAGGACAGAAAGCATGATCATCAAGTCTACTTCTAGCCACACACACACACAGAGGCATGCAAGGATGTTCACCACGGATTTTTGAAAGCACCACAGAGACCTGACCATGAGGACCTGGTTGAAGAAATCATGCCCCTTCCAGTCTGTGAACTAGGACACAACCTGTAAGTAGAATGGGGTAAGACGTGTATACACTGACATGGAAAAATGTATGGGATGACAGGTAAGTCTAGTCCGGTTCCAGTCAGGCCTCTCCTGACTCCTGGAAGCTGACGAACAGGAATAAGAGTCACCAAGCAGAGACCGGGGGGCACAAGCCGGTGGACGCAGAGGTCCAGAGTTGGCCGGTTGAAATTTATCATCAGCCGTCTATTGATGGCATCTGGGATCGGCAGGTGACACAAGAGGAGACTGAGAAAGATCCCGCTCCAACAGACGGCAAAGGACCAAAGAGGATTTCACTCTGCTTGGTCTCTCTCTCTGATACAAAAAAGGCTAACACCAGAGTTGTCACTAGGCTGCGACTCCAATGATAGGCTGGGCTCTGCCATACCGACCCAGGAATGTCTAGTTGACATAATCCCTAACCATCACAGATCTATTGACTTTTAAAAATCACAGAATGCTTATTTCAGTGATATAAAGAGATACACACAATTGTGAAGATGCTAACATACCAACATAAATGTAGCTGAACAAAAATAGATGCTTGTACGCATTCACAAATCTGAAGGTACATCTTAACTTGCACACAGAGGCATACATCCTCGTTGACATATCTGTTCAGAGCTGAACAAGTCAACAACTGTTATCCCCTGAAAGGGAGATAAATATTCCCACTGTCTTATTTTTTAAGTAATATTTTTATTGTGTTTTCAATGGAAATTTATAGCGCAGTCTAGGTTCCCAGTCAACAATTTCTACACCAGCTGTCCAGTGATATCGGTTATTCTTCACAGTGCAGGAACAATGTCATTATCTCCATTCTGCTGGTTCTGTTTGTATTCATCTGGTCCCTACCCCTGGGCCCCCTGACCTTCTCCAAGCAGCCATTGTGGTAGAGTGGATTAAGCGTCAGCAGTTCAAACCCACCAATGGCTCTGTGGAGAAAGATACGGCTGTGTGTGCCTGTACGGACTCACAGCCTGGGAGCCCCTCTGCGAGCAGTTCGACTCTGTCGTGAAGGACCACGGGGAGTCAGAAGCTTCTCAGCGGCAATGGTGTGGGTTTTATACATTTTCGTTTCTGTTTTAAAGTTACTGTTGTTCGTTTGGTCTCATACCAGTGATTTTAAAATTTTTTTTTAAGGAGGACAGTCCTTACATGATGAGCCAACTTGTTATTTAGCTACAAGGTAACCTCAGGGGTTAGTTTCAGTTTAAGGTTTGAAGAATATCTTAGGGCAACCGTCTCAGCAATCCTCCAATGTAAACCAATTCTGTCTACCTAGTTTTCTTGTTCTTTTTTTGTTTCCAGGACATTTAAGGTTCTGTTCCACACGTTTCTTCCATTCGACAAGAGCCCATCTCTTCTGGCCCTCCTTAGAGCAGTCGTAGCTGGGCACCATCCAGTCCTTCTGATCTCAGGATAGACAAGGCGGGAAGTGTCTATCGGTCTTGTAGACGCGTTTGTTCTTTGTCTTTGGTTTCCTTCTTTTCCGTCTGCTCCAGAAAAATAGAGCCCAATAACTGTAGCTCAGATGGCCACAAGCTTTTAGGATTTAAACTTCTGAGACCTGAAAAGACTCACCAAATTAGCCTGTAGATAACTTTATGAACTATATTATACCAACTGACCAAGATGCTCCATGAGACTATAATCCCAATGCTTCAAACCAGGAATCTACTCCCTGGAGATGTCTGGCTAGGTCTAAGAAGTATCTATAACTATGCCCCCTATGAACTTTATTGTATATATCAATTTATGTGCCACAGATACATATACACAAGCTTCAAAAAATCATGATTAATTCCATTCTCTATTTCCTTTTTCCATGATTTTAAAAACTTCTTTATATATACATGTCTATACACACATATGCCTATGTATCTACATATGTACCCACACATTCTGGTTGTTTTTGCTGTTGTTTCACAGTTATCTACACAAGAGCCATTACAAATAGGTTCTCTTTTCTTGGGTGACATCATGTTCAATGATACCACTTAGGTCTGACAATCTATGTACACTTCATCCTCATTCGGGGTTACCTTTCCCATCACCAAAAGCAGTTCTACCCTGTGCTGCAGGGTCACTATGAGCCAGCATCAACTCGAAGGCATTGAGTCTGGTTTTACTGGTTTTGGAAACCACTAATGAACGTTCCTTTCTGAACATGTACTTGTTCGTGTCAGCTCAGAAGGGAAAACACACAGTATTTGTGAGTGTATCTGACCTATTTTGTCCAACATAATATCCTCCAGGTTCTTCCATGGGGCCAAGTGTGGGACACTCGTTTTGATTGCTGAGTAGTATTCCATTGTCTGCATGAGCACATTTTACTTACCCACTCATCCGTTGATGGGATGTTAGGTTGGTTCCATTTTTTGCTATTGTGAATAGTGCTACCCATGATGAACACAGATGCACATTATGTGTGGTGTCACTTCGTTAAGATCTCTAAGGTATAAACTGTTCTATGGCTCTCAGCATTCTCGTTTTTTATTGTTCTGTCTTCTACAGCATTCTCGACATTTTAGCGAGGTTCTTTATTTCATTGCAATGGCCACACAGAACTCACAGATAATATCCATGCTTAAAGAGATTATTAAGGATGTTAACCGGTTACAATGCAGGTGAGAAATGTCCAGAACAGAGTGGTTCCGTCAGGACACGTGACAAAGTTCTTTCATAGCTGCTCATAAGTGCTCAGAGGGCATGCCGCTCAACCAAAGGCACCCAGCTCCAACTGTGAGTGTCAGTGAACCCAGCTCCCTAAGTTACATGCCCAGAGACACCCCACTCCAGTAAACCCCATCCTACAGGCACTCAGTCCACCCTGGTGAGTCAGTAAGCCCAGCTCCCTCACTTAAGTGCCCAGAGTCACCCACTTCACCAACCAGCCTCCTGCCCCAAAGCAGTCAGTTTTACTTGCTTTTCGGACTGAGGAGTCCACCACTGTTTCATGGTCTGGTTCTGAGTTCCACTACTGTTACTCTGCACTGCTCAGATGTCAAAGCTGTCTTTTGGAGGAAGGAGACATACTACATAGGCCCCTCATGGGAAAAAGTCCGCCCTCTGCTCCTGACTCTTCCCTGGGAGTGATTATCTTCCCACTTTGCTTCAGCAGGATGACAGTCAGGAGCCGTGGTGGCAAAAGGATTACACATTGGTCTGTGAACTGCAAGGACAGCAGTTCAAAACAACCAGCTGCTCTCCGGGAGGAAGATGAGGCTTTCTACTCCCATAAATAGTAACTGTCTTGGAAAGTCACAGGGGCAATTCAACCCTGTCCTATAGAGTTGCTATGAGTGGGAATTGAATCAAAGGCAGTGAGGTTGGGTTTCTTCCCCCCGCCCCCAACCCCCGCCCCATTTCACCCCCCTTTTTTTTTTGAGGATGCAATCACAATGAATCCTGTTAATTATTTCTCAGAGGGGAATTTATCAGTGTGGTCCTCCACCTTCTTGTCCACACCCACGTAGGAAAAAGTCATTTGGTTGGAGGTAGAAAAATTTGGCTCTGAAAGTCACATGGAATAAGTTACTGTCCCTGCATCTACCTAGAAGTGAAACAGCTGGATCATGCAGCACGACCTCTACTTTCTGGGGGCTCGCCGGACCATTTCCCACAGTGGCCGTGCGCTCCTACCAACACTGGGTGAAGGTTCCAATCATTGCTCCACACTCCCTCCAAACTTGTTACTTAAATCTTGGCCATCCTCTCACTCACTGCCATCGAGTCCATGCCGACTCCTGGTGACCCTATGAGACAGGGCAGAACTTCCCTGTGGGTTTCTGAGACTGTCGCTCTTTACAGGAGTACGAAGTCCGTCTTTCTTCTCTGAAGCGGCTGGTAGTTTGGAACTGCTGGCCTTGTGGATCACAGCCCAACTCGTAACCACTCTATCCCCAAGGCGCCTTGGCCATCTGGGAGCAATAAAATGGTTTCTCTTTATAGTCGACATTTGCATTTATCTAAGAGCGAACACTGAGCAGCTTGTCATGCCGCGTCTCGCCACTT